GGAGGCGATCAGGATATTACGCTTCGAAGCCACCAAGCCAGCTCCTAAGGGGGTGGGGGCCACGGTGGTGAGTTTCACTTACCTTGCCTGGCTGCCTGCCCAGGGCCGGCGGAACACAGCTGGAAAGACCTAGAGCCTCCGGCTTTCCTCTCCTCTGGTCCACCCCCTGGCACCCCGTCTCCGGTTGGACATGGGACTGGAGAATCAGAAGTTATTCTCTTGGGGCAAGAAAGATGGGTGCCGGCAGAGTTCGCTTTTCTTCTCTAGTGTGGTGTTCCTCTCTGCACAGCTCACGTAGCCTCAAAGCCTGTACTGTGCCGTGTATGCCAACAGGGAACAGCCAAGGACCTGGAGACGGGACTGAGCCCCTCTGAGGTGGAGGTCCTTCTTCCACAGCTAACTAGCAGCTGTCTGGAGGGCAAAGACTGAGGAGCTGGGAGGAGAGAGGGAGAGTAACCTGGGGTTACAGTGTTAATGGGGAGAGTGTGAAGGCTGGGGGCTCTGGGAGCATAGGAGCTAGCCTCTCCTGGCCTACACAAAGGCTCTGGGAGTGGGCATTCTCACTGTCTGCGAGGAAGGGGTTTATAGCTTCAGGCTGGTTCACTGTTGTAGCCAGGAATATGGGTACAGGGAGCTGTGAACCTTGTAGGTGCTGAGTCCTTTACACTTGCAGCTGTATGAAGGCCCTTGGAGGTTCAGGTGGGTGGATGGATGGAATGGGAAGAGAAGGAGGGGACATTCCGGGACATCTTCTTGGGTGGTGACGGTGAGGTGGTGAGGTGAACAGGGGAGGGCTTGTCCCTCCTCTATGGACTGCTGAGTAATGTGTCTTTCCAACCCCTCCTGGCTCTGTGCTGAGCTGTGCTCATTAATATGAGCTTTTTGCTTTGGAGTCACTGTAATTCAGGAAGCCTAAGTGTGTGTGTGTGTGTGTGTTAGAGAGAGAGAGAGAGAGAGAGAGAGAGAGAGAGAGAGAGATCTTCTCTAAGTTCAGCTTTATCACAGAAGACAGTCCTAGAAGACCTTTCAGGAAAACTATTGTCTTCTTGTTGCTGCCAAGCTGGTCATCTCTTCATAGTCTCCTCCTCACGTCCCGTCTCTCAGTGGTTAGGGAAAACAGGGCTGAGAAGAAAGTGTGTCTTGTGGAGTCTGGGATAGGACCACGTACAGTTAAACTTCTTGGTTTGGATCCAGGACTCACAGTGTCAGAGGAGTTTGGCTCAGGCAGGCAGCGGCTCTCAGGGGTAAGTAGAGGTGGTTGTGATGACAGTGGTTTCGACGGCATTAGCGTTTGTATGATGGTCATCATCCGTTAAGATGATGGCCAGGCTCACGGTGAGTGTGGGTAGGGACAGTCATGTAGTCCTGGACTTGGTAAAATTGTCTGTGATGGATGGTGGTTTATCCGTTACTTTTCTAATTGCTGTGATAAAAATAAACTGAGAAGGGAGGCTTATTGGCCTCACTCAAAGGCCCAGTCAGTCAGGAAGGCATGTGTCCTAGTTACTTTTCTGTTGCTGTGGATGGACACCGAGGCCAAGGCAACTTATAGTAGGAGAAGGGTTTATTTGGGGCTTACAGTTCCAGAGGGATAGGAGCCCAACGCCATCTCCATGGGAAGCTGGCAACAGGCAGGCTGGCATGGCAAGGTGCTGGAGCAGTAGAGGAGAGCTCACATCTCAGATCCACAAGCAGAAAGCAGAGAGGGCGCACTGCCCGGGGATGGTGGGAGGCTTCTCAAGCCCTTAGACTGCCCTCCTCCTCCATCAAGACCACACCTCTTAACCCTTCCCTAACAGCCAACAACTGAGGTCCAAGTCTTAAAATGCCCGGGACTCATGGAGGACATCTCATTCAAACTGCCTCAGCATGGCAGCAGGGCATGAGGGGCCTGGTCACGTTGCATCAGCAGCCCTGAAGGAGAGAGAGAGAGAGAGAGAGAGAGAGAGAGAGAGAGAGAAATGCAGGTGCTTAGTAAGCTTTCCTTTGGATTTCGTATGGAACTCCAGAACACAAGATGCCACGGAGTTCATGGAGGCTTCCTTCCTCCCTCAGTTAAAAACCTTCTGGGAAAACCCTCACAGAAACGCCCAGAGTTGTGTGATTCTAAATGTAGTCAAGCTGACAATGGGAGTTAACTATCCCATGGCCAGGGTCACGATGATGATTTTGATGATGATTTTGGGGAGATGAGGGTTGGGGAGATCGTGGCAGTGCCAGGATTCGCTGAGGTAGCTGTTATGGTGTGAATTGCAGTGAGGATGAAGATGGCGGGGACTATGGTGGTCATAGTGGTGTGTCCTGGTTTGAGGGTAGGTGGTTGTGGTCATGGTGATAGGGGTATCTCAACAAAGGAATATCCCGATCACAGCTGCGCTTCCCATAGTGTGGTCAAGCTAAAGTGTCACATTATAAGAGAACCCCCATATCAAATAACTAACACTCCGTCTAGACCGGCGATTCTCAACTTTCCTAACGCTTGCGACCCTTGAACACAGTTCCTCATGTTGTGGTGACCCCTGACCATAAAATTATTTTTATTGCTACTTCCCAACTGTAATTTTTTTTTTTTTTTTTTTTTTACTGTTATGAATCATAACCTGATGTTTCTGGTGATCTTAGTTGACCTCCGTGAAAGGGTTGTTCACATTCCCCAAAGGGTCACGACCCACAGGTTGAGAACTACTGATCTAGACTATCAGCTCCACAGAGTTGCTTTTGTCCCCGGTACCCAGAAGTGTGTGTGGTCCATAGCAGGGGCTCCATTGGTGCACGCTGAGCAAAGGAGAGAGGGCTGAGCCCCTCCTGGGATGAACGCTGCACGGCTCTATCTGATCCTTTCCATCTTCCTTCAAAAGCCCCTTCTTACAGACGGGAAAGCGAAGGTGGGGGAAATGGCGTAGCCTTCCTAAGGGAACACAGGAGGCTGCCATGGGGCAGGGGGGCAGGCCTTCTCGCTCAGGTCCTCCTTCTTCTTCTGCACCCTTCATAGCCACTCTTCCTGCCAGCACTCAGCAATACATCTCAGGCCTGTGCTTCAGCTTAATCATAGAAATACTGCTAATAATAGTAACAATTGCTGTTTGTAATTGTTGGAGTAAGGGCTTAAATGATCAAGGCCGTGGAAATTATTAATAACCCAAGGCCCAGCCATGGTGGTGTGGGTCATATTAAATCGTGTTGAGATGGATAACCTTGGCAATAATAGTAACTGGGATCATAAATTAATAACGGGAGTATTTAAATTAATGCCACACCGTCAATAGCCTGGTAGCAAGCAGCTTGACGCTTCTGGAAGTACTAATGCTTCTCCTTCCTGCCTCCCATGAATTCAGAAAGAGCAAGGCAGAGCTCTAAGAGCTTTGGGGGAGGGGACATCTTAGAAGTGATCTCTGTCCAGGGGGAAGGGATCTTGGGGACTTCTGAGGTCCTGCTTGCTAGACTCTCCCATCCAGTCATGGTGGCTCAAGCACATGAATTGTCAAAGCCACAGTGCTGAGTCCCCTTCCTTTCCGGGGACTGTCTGCTGGACTTTGCTGGTTACACGGGATAGTGTTTTTGCTTTGTTTTGTTTCTTTTCTCTGCAGTGAATGGATGAATTAAGTTTAAGTGGACTAGGAGAGCGTCTTCCCAGGAGCAGGCCTTCTTTGTAAGTGCTCATGGTCTGTCCCTCGTTTCCATTATTTGGGACCACATTTTGGAAGAGGGAACGGAGCCCAGACATAGCTAACATCTGGTGCTGGCACAGTCTTTGCAGCTTTGTCCCCACACTGCTGTACATCAAAGCCTTGGCTGCCTGGGAACCAAAAAAAGGAGTGGGGTGGTGTTTCTCCTCGAAGGCTGGCTGCACACTCCCTGGTGTACAGGTGTTTTGATACGCCAAGTTTCTAGAACATGGCAAGCATGGTCCTCAGAAGGCGCACACAGGACATGGATGAGTCTGTGAAAGTTGAGTCTGTTCAACAGCTTCCCCCTGGATCCTCTCAACAGAGCATTAGGGAACACCTAATGTACCAGGCCCACAGAGGAGACACTACTGTCCCTGCCTGAAGGAAGCAGAGAAGCTCATTTAATCGCGTCTGGGAGTGGTTCGCATACTCGTGAGTTTGTGCGCACTCGAGGGCTTGGGTAAGTACAACTGTGAATGTGTAGGGCTGTGTGTGTGTGTGTGTGTGTGTGAGATCATGTGTTTGTGGTTGTATGTCTGGCCTGCATTAGGGACCCTTGTAGGGTAAGTGGGTTTGTTTGAACGCCTGAGGAGGGTATGGGCAAACATCAGAGCGTGAGCACACGTACATACAGGTATGCTTTAGAGTGTGTGTATTCCTAGGTTTTATGTTCTCCCCCTCCCCCCGCCCCGCGAGACTCCTTCAAGCTTATGAAACGCTGGAGACGCGATGTTTTGCTTGGCAAGTGTGATGTCCTGGGTTCTATCCCGTGTGTGTGTGTGTGTGTGTGTGTGTGTGTGTGTGTGTGTGTGAGAGAGAGAGAGAGAGAGAGAGAGAGAGAGAGAGATCCCAAATTATGATATTAGGATAGATTCCACCTTGAATGTCCCCAAGAAACACCTCTCCGAAGCAGCAGGGGGACAGGACGGCATAGGGTGTCTATCTCAGCGCCCTCATTCTCAGAACAAGGGTCGGGGCAGGGAACTAGAAACCAACCCAGAGGCCGAGGAGGATGCTTAAGACAGGGCACCCCGAGGCAGGCCTTATCAGCGGGAGGGCAACGGCCCCCCGCCGGATCCGCAGCATCCGCGGCCGATGCTCGCTCGGCGGCGCACCCCGGCTACGTCTCCGCGGGACAGCCCGGCGAGGGGCCCGCGGGCGCGTCTCCCTCGGCTGCTCCGGACTCCCCACCCCGAGGCGGCCGGGCGGGCGCGGTTCCGGAGGGGTAGGGGGTGGGGTGGGGGGGAGCTGGGCGGGCCGGGCGGGGAGGAGGCGGGGCCGGCGCGCTGCCTTCACCCTGCCGCTCCCGCCCCGCACGCCGCCAGAGCGAGCCACGGGAGCCTCTCCGCCAGCTCCGGCGGGCAGCGGGCAGCGGGAGCGCGGCGCAGCCCCATCGCCCCGCACGGCAGACCGAGCTGGAAGCCGAGCGCCGTCGCCGGAGGCGGCCGACCGAGGCAGGTGCTGCCCGCGGCGTCATGGACCGGCTGCGTCTGCCGCCGCCGCCGCTGCTGCTGCTGCTGCTGCTGCTTCTGGGGGTAAGTGGGAGCCGGGGGGGATGCCTGTTAACCTTTCCCAAGAGCCGAACCCCCCACCCCACCCCCGAGGGGAGCCGGGTGCCGCCACCCAGGAAGCAGAATGGGACGTCAGGACCCCAGAGGCTGGACCGGCTGGCGGAGGAGCCGCGGCGCCGTGACCCCCCGGGATGCGCCCAGCTCCCTGCGCTTGGAGAGCGCAGAGGCGACCCAGCCAGTCCCAGCAGAGAGCCGCGGACCGGACTGTGGTACCGCGGTTGCTGCTGGTCCTTGGGTACCCGCGGTGTAGGGGATCGCGGGAGGGGTCTCCCCGGAGGAGGAGGTCTGGGAATCACGACCGTCTGGGTTCTTTGGACGGCGGCGTGTGGGTCCTGGGATCCCGGAGGGGGACTTTTTCCCTTCAGCATCTGAGTCCCCGGGGAGTTGTAGGACAGAATCGGGGCGAGAGGAGGTGGGGATGAGAGCGGCTCTAGAGAGCTGAGGGGCTCGAGCCGGAACAATGGGGGAGGCGGCTGGAGGGGCTGGAGGCAGAGGGGACCCGGCGTGGACAATGGGGACCGGCCAGACAATAGGGGGGAGGGGCGTCGAAAGGAGCGATTCGGGAGTGGCAGAGAGGCGGACGGACGGGGCTAGGAGTGGGCTTTGAGGGTGGCAGAGAAGAGACAGCCACAGAAGACGCAGGGACATGGAAAGAGGATGCTAAAGTGCTCGGGGCCGCGCTTGTCCACTCGGGGACGGCGGGGCGAGGGCGGTCGGACCACAGACATTGCCCGCGTGGGTTCCAGCGCTCTTTCCCGGGGCCTCGCCCAGTCCGGGAATTGGCGTCCGGGCATCCCAAGCAGGGTAGGGAGCACCCACCTCACCGGGGCAGACCAGCTCCCGGGGTGGTCCCTCGCCAAGCCTCTCGCACGGTTTGGAGCTACGCCGCGGACCCGGAGAGGCCGAGCTGGCATCCCCCTGCCTCGGGGTCTCGGGATGCAGAGCGCCGGGACGCTCCAGGCGGTGACGGACCGTTCTGGGAGCGCGCAGCTCGGGAGATGCGCCAACCCCAGGCGGCCCGCAGGGGGCACTGCGCGGCGCGGGATGGCTGTGGGGAGCTGCGTGCGAGCCCGGGGCTGCGCGCTGCGCCCAAGTTAAGCTGCGCCCCCGGCCCCGCGCCCTCCGCGCTCCTTCCGGGCCAGGACTTAAACGGGATCAGCCACCCCGCCCACACCTGGCCGGGCTCTCGGGGGAAAGTCCATGGAGCTTTCTCAGACGAGCCGGGGGCCGCTGGGATGCCTGGGATGCCGTCGGCTCCGGCTAAGGTCGTCAGATCCTGCTTCTAAGAACCTGAGTGCTCTGGGTTATTTCTGGCCAGATCTCGAGGGAGGCTGGCGATGAAAGTGGCGTCCTCGCTCTTTCCTCCACCTTTATTTATTTTTTTATTTTTTCCTTCATCCGAGAGCTGTGCCCCCCAAACCTCCATCTTACCGATAAGGAGGTTTCTGAGTTTATACAAGTCGGCCGAGCAAGCACGTGGGGCCGGAGCCCTGTGGCTAGCTGGGATGGCTCCCTGCTCTCTCTGCTCAAGGCTGCAGCTGGGGTGGGGGGTGGGTTGAGCCGGTCAACTTTGTTTCCCGGCGGGGATGCGGGGAACACGGTCCCGAGAGATAGGCAGGAGGTGCGGGTGGAGGGCTTCGCGCTCCGGGCTCATCCCCGAAGCTCAAACCTGGTTCCCGGGAGCTGTCAGTCCCTGAAGCCTCCCTGGGGACTTGGGAGTGACGGCGAGGGTGTTTGCGGGCCAGCGCCTCCGGTTAGGGATGCTTCTTGGTCCCGCGTAAGGGTGGGCTTGGCGAAGAGGAACTGTGGGGGCTGTGCGCTTCCGATCCCGGAGGGGTGAGGGTGTGGCCTCCGGACCCGGGCAGGAGGATGTCCCTGAGTTCATAAAAGGCACGCAAGGGCGCTGAGACCTCAGCAAGTTGGTTGGGGCCCAGAACCTTCGGACCCGATCCCCTGCAGCCTCTGCCTTCCACCACCGCCCCCTCAGGCCGTTCGGTGTGAGCCGCTCCCGGGTTCCGCCGCGGCGGTGCGAGCCTCTTCCTGCGCCGCCGTGAGGGTGCTGAAACCAGAGCACAACCCGGCCAAGTCTGCTGGCGGACCGCGCCGGTAATGGAGGCACTTTGTCATTCAGACGTCTGTAACCGGAGCCGCCGGGCTGCCTAATGCGCCTAATAGGGATGCGGTAGCGCAGGCAGCAAATGGGACGCGTGAGCGTCGGGGCTGGCGTGGAGGGTGAGTGGGCGGTGAGGCGGTTCCGGGTGGGGAGAGCCTCCGCCCTACCTGGCCAGCCCAGTCTGGCTCCAGCACCTGGCTTTCTCCCTAGTGGATCAGTTGGAATCAAATTTGGGAAGCGCCTGGTATGTGACCTGCACTGTCTCAGGTGCTTTAACGTGGTATACTCTTTGGGTCCCAGCCGGGTGGGATTATTTTATTTAGGCTTTAGGATTATTCTCATTTTACAGATGAGGAGGCTGACCCCCGGGAAACTTAGGCGGGACCCCGGGCTCCCCCAGTGCGAAAGCAGAGCCGGCCTGTTGGAAGACGGGAGCCGATGCTTTAGCCGTTCCTCCTCCTGCACGGTTCCTTTTCAGCTAGCTTGCCTTCCACTTACAGACCATGAAAGGGGGGTGTGGTCCTGAACGGCCACTGGCTGGGAAGGTTAGACCCCGCCCTGCGCTTCTGAACCGAGCCGCTCCCCTGCTTTTCTTCAAGTCTCTACAGGGCAGCTTGCTAAGGAATTGACACCAGTCTCCTACTGTGGGACCGTGAGTCAGTGCCTTTCCCTGGGTTTGAATCTTATCGAAGGCTCTCCAGATACTGGAACGTCCCCCTACCCCATAGGGCTGCGACCAGGCTCTATTCTCTAAGGAGTCTTCTCGGAAGCTGTTGTGAATGGTCAGGATTGAGCTCGTGGAAGGGTCCATATGGTTGCAAACACTGGCGTGTTTTCTGTTTCGCCCAATTAAAAAGAAAGTCGATTCATCCTAGCACTGGAAGCCAGCCCCACGATGACAAAAATAGATTGTAAACATTTTGAAAAATGGAGAAGTCGTGCTCTCAACTTTGAAATGAATAAATGTAATAGATACAACTATCAGGCAAATGGGTCTGTCATTTTGATAAATTGATCAATTTGGACCGGATTTTGGAGCAATTAGCCTGGACTCTAGTCACACTTTCCTGCTTGGCTGGTGGCTCTCTTTCTCCTCTGTCTTCCCTGGGATCAGCAGCTCACACCCCTAGTAGAAGTCATGCTACTTCTTCAAAAACTACCATTGACTGAACCCCTACTCTACGCCAGACGGATCTGCATACATTATTTCATTCAGTTCTCACAGCGACCCAGCGCAGGAGTCATGCCCAGTGCAGTGTTTTAGAGCGGGGAAACCGAGCTTTAGGAATAGGATGCGCAAAATCACAGACTGCTTTGCAGCCATTCTAGGACTTTATGGCAGAGGGGACATAAACCAAGTGCAAATGTGAATGCTGACTCTGTGGCCTCAACTCTGTATGTAAATCCTGGGAGGACTGGGGAGGACTGGGGAGAGCAGGTTCTTGGCAGAGGGGCTTGCCCAGAACTACTGTATGCCCCACAAGGATCATACAGCCCCTAGCTCCCTGTAACACACTCTCCAACTCTCTGCTGACCATGGTTACGTGAAGCTGTGGCGCGCACCCCAGGTCCACAGAGGGAGCCCACTCTGGGGGAGAGAAAAGAAGAATTCTAAAGTACCCCGCACTCACCCGCTCATTCAGTACAGCGGCTCCAGGCAGCTGCTGCCCTGAGTGATTACCCACTGGTAGGAGACGGAGGCACAGAGAAATTAAAAACCTGTCTGCCACTCTGGCCCTGAGCGATGAGGAACTCAGGTCATCGGAGAAAGTCTAATGCTCAAATGTTTGACTCAGGGTACTGGCCCTCTATGTCAGCTCCTAACTCGGTCATGTCCCATTTTCCCTTCCTTCCTTCCTTCCTTCCTTCCTTCCTTCCTTCCTTCCTTCCTTCCTTCCTTCCTTCCTTTTTCTTTCTCCAACATCCCAATTTCTCTGTGTGTAGTCCTGGCTAGCCTTGAACTGAGGTCCTCCTCTCTTGGCCCCCCTTATACTGGGATCACAGGCATGTGTGCACCTGGCTCCCAGCCAGCTTTTTACCCGGTCCAGTGCCACCATTTTTAAAGATTCCATTAGAACTGACACGTTATGGTTCTGGGAGAAGGACTCTTCCAGTCATATTATGATAGGAGCAAGAAATGACAACTGATACCCTGACAGGAAGAGAAGGGACAGGAAGACTATCAAAAAGCTGATAAAATGACCCAAAAAAAAAATGTGTTCAGCTGGGGTCAAGAACACGAGAGCACTATTGCATTGCAGTCCTGAGTAATCACTGGTGCTAACAGCCCGATGCCCCAGTGATGGAGAAACTTCAGAGGCAGAGGAGGGTGCTGCACCCGGGGAAAGGAGAAATGTAGTGGATGTCAACTGTCCAGTTTTGTCCCTGAGGTCCCATAAGCCATCCAAAGTCAGTGTTCCAGGTTTCTGGGTAACTGAAGGCACATGGTAGTTTCCTGTTCTTAAGTTACATACATATGTACGTTGGCTCCCTACGCTGTGCCAGACAGGGCAGAAGATACCAGGACAACCTCTGTCCATAGCTCCACCCGTCTAATCCAGGAGGGGTGGGGATGATAGGACCACTTCCTCGAGGAAGTGATATTTAAGCAGAGCCCTGAGTGATGAAAGGAAACCAGAACAGCCCCTTCTGAAATCTCAGCTCCTGGGAGAAGCCTGCCTCGGGTGCCTCGGGTGCCTCGGGGCTCCTGGTCTGCAGATGTTACCAGCCAGCACTCATGCCCGCTGCTGGCACCTGGAGGAGATGGTGGTAGCTTTCTGGGCTTCCTCTCTCCCTGCTGGCCTTATGGAGACCACACTGCCCCTAGAACATCAACCAGTGTTTTCCCTCTGCCTCTGTGTTTCATCAAACTCTGGTGAGACCACAGTGTGTGTGTGTGTGTGTGTGTGTGTGTGTGTGTGTCTGTCTTGGCAAAGATCTGTCCAGCATGGAAGCCGTAGAGGAATGCCCAAACAACCTTGTAAAGCTCTCTGGCCTCATGACAAGAGCCCCAAATTGCTCAGCATCAAATGGTTGTGTGCTCGCATAAGGTCTGGAGCCTGCAGAGAAGGCTTTGGAGTTTTATTAGACATTGAGATTGTTCTTTAAGGAACAGCAACAAAGCGAGCCTCCTGCAGCCCCTCCCTCCGGGGACTGTGGTGCTAAGTCGATCCATCCACGAGCAAAGATGCTTTAGTGGCAGGAATCTGATTCCCCTTTCCCCCTGTTTCAGCTCTGTTCCCAGGGGCCACATGGGAGGGGAGGGGAGGGGAGGGGATGCAGGCAGGCTAGTGACCGGAAGTCAATTCTGGAAGGACAGTTGCCGGATGGTGAGAGGAGCCACTGAATACAGGCATCCTCCTTCTCCCTGCCTTGGCTCCGGACCTAACCAACAGCCTTTCCTTTACCCTGGCACCACGTTGTCATCGTATCCATCTGCAGAGAGGTGAAAACTCCAAAGGCAAACCAGGGCAGGCCAGAAATCTTCAGAAGAGTCAAGATTTGAACCCAAGAGCCAGGCCTCTGCCTTCTGCTTTTGGACATAGACAACTCCCTTTGGATACTTAATATGTGGAACGAGATGTGGAGAAGGACCCTGTTTCCCTTTGTTAGGAATAGGCCCTGCCTCTGGGTAATTGCAGCCCTGCAGGTGTGAGGCTTAGCGAGCGGAGTTTGGGCCAGATTTCAGCTCCACTGGCCTCCTTGGCGAGGAGCCCTGTGCAGGCTGTAACCTGTCCAGCCGTTCTGGATGTCGGCCTCAGGCTGCCCTCCCCTGTGGTATATCCTCAGGACTCCGTGAGGGCTGTAACCCCAAGGTGAACTCTGCAGAAGGTTAGCCACCGAGGCTGTGACCTCACACCCCAGCAGCAGTCAAGGGCGAGCTGTCCCCCCTCACCCCCCACAGCCTTCCTTCCTGCCAGCTTTGATCCTCCTAATGCCTCCCGGGTGAGCTCATCCCAGCCCAGGTGGTTCCAATAGAAGGTATTAAGAGGGAGGCGTTTGATCCGTTGGAAGACACCCCCTTTCCTCCTGCCAGGCTGACCCTCTGATCTCCTTCCACCTAGGTGTCCTTCGGAGGTGCCAAGGAGACATGCTCCACGGGCCTGTACACCCACAGTGGAGAATGCTGCAAAGCCTGCAACTTGGGTGAAGGTGTGGCCCAGCCTTGCGGAGCCAACCAGACCGTGTGTGAACCCTGCCTGGACAGTGAGTGTGGGGTGATGGGGGGGGGAGTTGTGGCGTGCACAGAGCGGAACTTGTAAGTGTTCTTCCGCCTCCTGAAAGGTCCCCTTGCCAACCTCTGTATGCTCACCAGAAGTGAGTGGGAGATAATGTAAGAGGGAGAGATACTGAATAGATGAGGGAGTGTACAGAAGGAGGAGGGGGACCTGGTGGGGGATCCCCAGAGGGGAGGGGGTCCTCCTTCCCAGCCCCAAGCAGAGAAGCTGCTGATAGGAGCGTGTAGCCAGGCAGGGAGAAGAAGCTGATGCTCAGGCCGGCTAAAAATACCTTCTGCTGCTGCAAGATCAATGGTTGCAACCTCCCCTCTGTGGCTTTTGGGGGAAGGGGAGGAGGATCAAATCCTGGCTGCCCTGGAAACTGACCTTGGGGGATCCTGGGAGGTTGTGGCTGTCCCTCCTCCAGGCCACTGTGCTGTAGCTTTCTGATGCCAGGAAGGACAGGGGCTGGAACACAAGGATGTCCTTACTATGGGATGACATGGGGTGGGAACAGGAGAGGGGAGCTAGCTGGCATTTCCTTCAGAAGTAAGAAGGCCCATCAGGAGTGGTGGGAAAGGGGGACAGAAGGATGACACCTCTGTTCTCATCCTCACCTGTGCTTTCTGGGACCAGGGTCTGCTAGATACCTCAGGGCTCTGCTGCTGCCTCAGGCCCCAAAGCAGAGATGTCTCCCCTGTCTGCTGACAGTAAGATCCTGCATCTGCCAGACATTCAGTTCCCACTAGGAGGGCTGCTGGGTCAGAATACAGAGCCAGGAACTCTTAGCCTACCAGCCAACCTGCTCTTATCTCTGTATGCCCCCTCCCAAGCCTGTCCAACTTTCAGACATCACCACTCCTTAGTGTCCTCAAACACAAGTTTTTCTCTGTGCTTGTGACTTCTGTCCCCCTGTCCCCAGCAATGGGGCACCGGGGCTGGATAGGAAGGCTCTGCCCCCTTGGAAGATGGCACCTGATCTGCCTTGGCTTCACAGACTATCCCAAAGCCAAGTCACATCAGCCACCAAAGGCTGCCTCCTATTGCCAGGGCATTGATGCCCTAGGCCGCGCCCCGTGTCTCTCTCCTAGGCACCCTTCTTCAGCAGCTGGTGGGTCAGGAGCTCGGAGGAAGGCCATGTTAGGAATTAGGAAAGAAAAGAGGAAACGCAACAGGAACCAAGGGCATCTCAGAGGGCGCTCAAGCACCCTCTCCAATTCCCTACTCCTTCCTTCCCCTGGGCACCCCCCCCCCATTCCCCCTGCCACACTCCCCTCCAGCTGTGTTAACAGGCTGCTTTTACAAGCCTACTTTTATGGGCTGGAGACCCCAGCGGACTTTCCCTCCACCCTCAAAAAAACAAAACAAAACAAAAAAAAACCATTTCCACTAGGAAGCCCATTAAGCTGCTGCCTTTATGCTCTGCCAAAAAAGACCACAGTTTTCACACCATCCAAAACCTACTCCCAGAAGCCTTCCGGCTAATTTCTGTTTGTTTGTGTTTTTTTTCCCCCAGGAGTGGGCTTGCTCTTTCCGTCCAGCGTGACTAGTCCCCACCCCACCCCCACATAGCACCCTCTCAAATGGAGAGATCAGATGTCCTGCCAAGCGCCCTCTGCTGTCTGTATGTCAGCCACCAAAGATCACTGTTACTGTTCAGCTACGGGTCCCCTCACCCTCAGTTATTCTCCATCACAACCCTGGGAGGGGTGATATTACTTATTTAGTTAAGGTTTTGTTGTTGATGGTGGTTTATTTGTTCTGGTGTTTGTTTGTGTGTTTGTTGAGGTAGGGTTTCTCTGTGTATAACCCTGGCTATCCTAGATCTGGCTCTGTAGACCAGGCTGATCTCGAACTCAGAGATCTGCCTCCTGGGCGGAGTACAGCAACTAGAGGTGAGTGCCTCCACCGCCCTGCTGTTTGTTTAGTTTTGAGACAGGTTCTCTCTCAGTGTAGCCCGGGCTAGCCTCAGAGTCACTGTGTGAAGCAGGCTGGCCTTGAATCCACCATCCTCCTGTGCAACACCATACCTGGCTATTATTTCCTATTTCACAGAGAAAGGGATGTGAGACATTAAATCAGAGAGCTAGTAAGTTATGGAAGTGAGTCTTGAAGCAGGGTCTGGCTGATCCCTAGGAAAAGGAGACAGGGCACCTCTGTAGGAGCCGACTGGAAATGGAAATGTTACCCAGGCTTCCCTCCCCTTCTGTTTTGTCTCTCCTGTCCCCACCCTACCCTTTGCACCTCTTTCTGGTCATTGTCCTTCGCCTCATGGTGGACCCGCACTTCCCAGAATGCGATCCCTGATGCCTTTAGGTGATCAGCTTGGAAACTGCCCCTTTTCTACTGAGAGGGCCGGGGGAACTGTACGTACAAGTTCTTCTTGCTTTCTAGCTTCTGTCTTTCTTGCTGTACTGGGACTGTCTTGCTTGGAGCATGGCCCTGCTCTTATGAGCCACGCATGCCCTTGGCCAGGCCCTATGGTAAAGTGCCAGTGGTTGGAAATGTTACTGTCACTCCCATTTCAACCCTACCTGAGAGCCACCCTCCCCCACCCCATGGGACAGGGCTGGAAGGACAGCTCAGGCAGAGGCTCTTGGGTGCACAGCCCACCTCTGGCCATTGTGGAAGGTTGGATGGGAACCATTCACATTAGTCTGTCTGTCTTTTCTTTCTTTTCTTTTCTTTTCTTTCTTTCCTTTCCTCCCTCCCTCCCTCCCTTCTTTCTTTTTCTTTCCAAATCTTTTCCAATTTTTTGAGACAGGGTTTCTCCTTTGTAGCCCTGGCTGCCCCGGAACTCACTCTGTAGACCAGGCTGACCTTGAACTCGCAGAGATCCCATTGCCTCTGCCTCCTGTTAAGTGCTGGGATTAAAGGCACACACCACCATCTTCAGGCTTACATTTTTCTTTAGCCAAGCTGGGAACTAGGGCGTAGGTCTGGGAACTCCCTGAGGTTTGCCTAGTAGTATCTACCTGAACGGCTGGGACCTCGCAGGGCCTCAGGGACAGCTCTTGTGGGGCCTGAGAATGGGTCTCCTTCCCAGTCAGTTGCCGATGGAGCTTTCACAGTGAGGGACTCCAGAAAAGAGAGCGAGAGAAGGTGAAGCGGATGCTGAGCAATAGCCTTAGCTGGGGACGGGGATGGAGAGACTCCAACACTGTGACAAAGTCCTGAGGCTGATGCTAGCCTGTCCGTGTGCCGTTGTCCTCAGGTGTGACGTTCTCCGACGTGGTGAGCGCCACGGAGCCGTGCAAGCCCTGCACGGAGTGCCTGGGCCTGCAGAGCATGTCGGCTCCCTGCGTGGAGGCGGATGACGCCGTGTGCCGCTGCGCCTACGGCTACTACCAGGACGAGGAGACTGGCCGCTGCGAGGCCTGTAGCGTGTGCGAGGTGGGCTCGGGACTCGTGTTCTCCTGCCAGGACAAACAGAACACAGTGTGTGAGGAGTGCCCAGAGGGCACCTACTCAGACGAAGCCAACCACGTGGACCCGTGCCTGCCCTGCACGGTGTGCGAGGACACCGAGCGCCAGCTACGCGAATGCACGCCCTGGGCTGACGCCGAATGTGAGGGTGAGCGTGCTTCCGGGCAGGGAGCAGGGCCGCGTTGGGGTGCAGCGCCACGAAGAAGGGAGCCCTCTAGGGGTCGTAAGGGCCCAGGCTAGCCTTCATCCCGCAAGCATCCTTCTTGATGTAGCTAAAGGCACTGAGGTGGTGAGTTCAGATTCTGCCTCGACCGCCAAACCTTCCCCACTAGTTCCTTCTTTGGACCGACACTGGGAAGGTGGGTCGGGCTTGCCAGTTCACTGGAAGAAGTCTTCCAGACTCCTTTCCCAGTGATTATAGGGGTGGCTAACAGCACCCGGAAGGAGCCATAGATGCTAGAGCCTGAAGCAGGCATCCTTCCCGCCTGAGGCAGGTTTTCCAAACTGGAGTGGAGCTGGGGACTCACACGAGTGAGAACCCTTCAGCCAGGAGGCCAGATGCTGGTGGTGATGATGGCGGCAGCAACCCAAATCAAATTAGCCCGGAGCGACGGCAGGGGGATCACTCCTGTCTCTGGATCTAAGTGTTTGATGGCCACAGGGCCACCATAGGGTTGTTGGAGTAGGTGACACGTTCCCCCCGTGGCGTCTGGGGGAGAGGTGGACACGTTGTGACAGTTGAATGAGATGGAGTTGGCTGCAGAAAATGGCCAGGGGATGAAGGAAGAGGTTCTGTGGAACAAGAGGCGTGATAGGCCTGGGCTTGGGGAGGGGCAGGATAGAGCAGGGTCTGCTCAGAGGCCTCTTTTCTCCTGAGGGCTGTAGGCAAGATAAGGCTGTGGGCCTGCCTTATCCGGACAGCTCACCTGAAAGGGACAGGAGGATTCTGGGACAGGAGGAGGCACCTGGGAGCCAGGCCCCAGCCGCCATGATCACTGTTTCGTAGTGTTCGTCTCTGAGGGAATGGGGAATTTGGTGTTGCTTCTCCATTCTGTCCAAGCCCATGGACCTGATTTTTCTTCACCCTCACACTGAGTGCCACCTTCAGGAATTCCCTAGTCTTCCTGGGAGAGGGACCGCCTTTGACACTGGTCCCTGGAGGGAGAAGGCAGCCCCAGCTTCAGAGATTCTGCCTTCTATCAGCCTCGAGTTGAATAGAAGATACAGAACCCCTGTCCCGACAACCAGCTAGGGCCTCTCCCTTACCAGTGCTTGCTCTAGCAGCAGAGGAGAGAAGGCTGGCAAGCTGCACTGAGGCCCTGAGTATGTTTGCGATGTTCTCTGCTGAATATGTGGTGAGGGTTGGGGGCATAGGCCCCAGGGTGGAGAGTTTCATGGACCAAGACAGGCAAATGGCCTCGGAAGCTAGGCTGAGCAGGGGGAGAGCTTCAGAAGCAGCCAGGCAGCAGGCGAGTGCTTGGCACAGTTCTGTGGACAAGTCTGGATCAGCCAGTGGGGCACAAGGTCAGGGGTGTGATTAGAGCAAAGGGGGAACCAGGTAGGTGAAAGGGCAGACCCTGTGGTTTAGGGAATTATTTCTCCCGATGCCAGCCTATTTTCCCAGCCATCCTGGCAGAAGACATTTATCCTATATTGTTCTCTTTCTGCTCCAAGCTCGGAAGGGTTAACTGTTGGCTGGCCCCGAGGCCAAGCATCCCTTTCAGGAAGTGGAATTTGATTCTTGGGTTGGCAGCCCCACTCTTGTCCAGTGTAGCATACTTGCCTGCATATACATTTCAGGGCGTCAACATGGTGACTCACCCAGCCTTGGGGCAGGCGCCTGGCCTCCTTGCCGTATTGAAGTTTCGGAGGGGGTCACCTGCTCCCTCTTCCTCCTGATAGCTCCCATTCCGGAAATGGCTGTCAGGACCTGCCAAGGGCTTAGCGGGTTGGAATGCTGGGGGACAGGGCCACATCTGGATCTCGTCTCCACCCCCATCAGAGAGGGCTGGAGGGGCTGAGGGAAGGCGCCCCGACACTCGACACTGTCTTCGGCACTTCTCTGAGGCTCCTTCATTTCTGCAGCCCTCACCCACCCACATCAGCCTCGGGGTCAGGGCTGTCAGTCTAAACTGACTTATATATCTGTAGCCCCAGGACTAAGGTTGCACCTTCAACCTTTCCCGTTAGAAGAAGGTCCTCTAGGATCCAAAACCCAGGCAGGACTGCCTCTTCCACTTCCCTGCCCAGTACTGGGATGGGGGAGGGGTGAGACTGGGCAGCAGATGGCAACCTTCTCCCCACTGCCAGCCAGATGGATTCCAGACCCACATCTGGGGGCCTTACCCCTCAGAAGGTGCTGAAAATGGGGCCTTTGAAGCATCTCTGTCTCGAGTTGGGGAGGCCCAGAGGGCTAGTGGGCAGCTTCAGCTCCAGCTTGGGTGGGCACAACGTAGACTGGGCAGGGCAGAGCTGGGTAGCAAGATGTCCTTCCCTTAACCTCAGTAGCATGCCCTGTCTGCTTTCCCTCCCTGCCTCAAGCGTGGGAAGTGAGAATGGATGGGACAGGTTGCTTTGCCCAGACAAGTACCCCCCAGGCCATCATCCAGAGCCCACAACCTCTAGCACTGCCTCTGGCTGGGTGGCAGAATGGAAAATCCCACCCACTAGTGCCAGGAGGGGCTGGAGCCTCTGCCAGGAAGGCTGGCGTTGCCCGAATGGCATGGGCCCTCCTAGATGGGTGGCCAAGCACAGAACTGCTCCTTCTGAGGCAGTAGGCATACTTACTTCGTAGACCCTCCCTCCACCAGCCGTCTGCTTCCTGCTAACAAGGGTGCCAGCTGTCTGACCGAGCTTTCACTAGGTTCCAGGGCTAGGCTGTTTTGGAGGGGGAGGGCATCAGGCAGCACGAGAAACATTCTGGCCTTTGTACAAGAACCGGCTGTTATGCTCTCCACTCCCAGTGCCATGCCAGCCTAGAGCCTGGGGCATCTGAGACAGGACAGCATCTCTGGTCAGACCTAAGTGTCCCATCCTTCCTGAGGGCATGGTCACTAGGCTAGGGAAATTACATTCCTCTAAGCAGTTAAGGTATTGCTGCAGCATCTCTACAGCTCAGGCTTCTTGGGGTGTTTGCCTCACGCCTGGCTAGAATCCTTGGGTTCCACAGCCCAAGCCAAAAAGTTGCTTAGAGACCATTTCTTTTCAGAGAGCCCATCCTCTGGATGGGGAAATCGAGGTCCCATACTGATATAAGTCCCCTGTCATGCAGCCCTCACTCTTCTTCACTAACCTGACTTATGTGCACAGTCCCAGCTCCCAACCCCCCATGCCTGACCCCATGTGCCTGGAACCGGGGGGGAGGGGGGGTTCTTGATGAAGCACTGGAGAGTCAGAGCTAGCGGGAAGGCCTGAGTAGGTCCTAACTCCTGTGGCCCTGTCCCCTCCAGAGATCCCTGGCCGATGGATCACAAGGTCTACACCCCCGGAGGGCTCCGAGAGCACAGCCCCCAGCACCCAGGAGCCCGAGGAGCCTCCAGAGCAAGACCTCGTAGCCAGCACGGTGGCAGATACGGTGACCACTGTGATGGGCAGCTCCCAGCCCGTAGTGACCCGAGGCACCACTGACAACCTCATTCCTGTCTACTGCTCCATCCTGGCTGCTGTGGTTGTGGGCCTGGTGGCCTACATTGCTTTCAAGAGGTAAGAGGGGGACACCCTGAGGTTGGAGGAGACATTTGCTCTGACCTTGACCTGAAAACACACATACCGTTTTAATTCAATCCTAAACTCATCTTCACTCATTATCTCAGGCCCGACTCTTGGGTGTAGCAGGTTGCTGAGGGTGAGAGAGAGAGAGAGAGAGAGAGAGAGAGAGAGAGAAGGATTTCCTTTCCTGTCCTGGCTCTAGCCCTTCCTTCCTCCCAGGCTGCTCCTCATTCCTTAATTCCTGCCACCCCTCAACCCTACTCACCCCATAGTTCCCTGGGCATATGTGTGTCTCTTCTCTTCCCAAGTCACCCTTGCTTTCATGTCACCCTCGAACTCCCATGCTACCCTTGGGCTCCTGTGGTACCCACATCAAGGAATGCAAGGCAGAGACGAACTCGCAGAAGGCATTTTCAACTTTGAATGCGTCCTTTTTTTTTTTTTTTTGTATTTTGTTTTTAAATCATCAAAGTGACACATGCTTTTTAAAAAGCAAATGCAAACAAGACCGAATTCGTTTTATGGTGCTGAACATGCCAGATCTTTGAACACGCCAGGCAAGCTTACTGCCAGTGAGCAATTGCCCCAATCCCAGGACGTCTGAACATCTTCTGAAGCCAAAGGCGAAAGCCTTGTTTTAGCTCCTCAAATCCTACCCGTCTTGTGGGAAATCTCTTTGGGATAACACTTTTCCAGCTGTTTATAGAGCACTTTTCTTTATATAAACACTCACACTCATGAATTTTTTATAATTATATGTAGACACGAAGAGCTTTTCCATTCACCTTCTACAATGTACTGTGCTTTTTCCTTAGTCCCCGCCCCCCTCCCCCAGGAGAGCTATCCTCAGAGCACAGATGATCTGATCATTTACAGCCTCTCCTTCAACAACATGCCTGAACTGTAATTCAGTTACAGTCCTCTCTTGATGGACATTTGGTTTGTTTTCGGGGTTTTTGCTGTTGTTGTTGTTGCTTATAATTGTCAAGAAATTTTCTCTCTCTCTCTCTCTCTGTATGTGTGTGTGCATGCATATTTGAGTGCACAGAAATGAGCACCCTATCTCTTCCCAGCCTTTCTGGTAAGAGCATCATATAAGGAAATAAGTAAAGCCCTTAGACACTCTGGAGGGCACTTGCCATGCCCCTGGCCTCAACCATCAACCCAGTGACGTTGGCTGCCCTGATACCATCCTCACCCCATGACCCTGGGCTGTCTCTGGCTTCCAGGTGGAACAGCTGCAAGCAAAACAAACAAGGAGCCAACAGCCGGCCAGTGAACCAGACACCCCCGCCGGAGGGAGAGAAACTACACAGCGACAGCGGCATCTCCGTGGACAGCCAGAGCCTGCACGACCAGCAGACCCACACACAGACGGCCTCAGGCCAGGGTGAGTGGAAAGGCGAAAGACTGGGCTTCCGATCAGGCTACAGGAGGGCCTGGCTGGGTTGCAGGGTAGGAGAGGCTGAGCTGGGGGCTGGGGGCGGGGGTGGGTGGGTGGGGGGTGGGGCACGGGACATGGGAAAGGGGCCCTTTCCCCCTGGGATGACTTGGGAAATGCAGGCTTTTACAAGTTGGAGCATCAGACTCATCAGGCTAATTGCCCCCCCTGGGGGTTGATTACCGCCCAAAGTAGCTGCAATTAGCCCCCTGCCCTGGACTTCGAGGGAACAAGTGGTTAAGTGTGTACCCTCATTAGTGGCCCACAGCCAGGCTTTAGGACACTTGCTGCAGTTGTCTGGAGCTGAAGTGCCCTGTTCCCTCCCCTCGGCCTTGATGACTGTTGGGGGGAGGGGACGCTAGCGGAAAGGATGATGCCGGAGCTGAGGGTGAGGAAGGGACAGTGAGTCAGCAGGACCCAGGTCCCTCCCGCCCAGGCCCCTTCTAGGACCCCACTTTGGTCATCCCTCTGCCTCTAACTCTAGATCTTGGAGGAGTGTGCCTTGGGCCTCCTGGGGTCTTACCCCAAGCCTCTAGGTTAGGAAAGTGAGTTCTGGGTTAGGGACTGACACCCTCTTGCTCTCCACAGCCCTCAAGGGTGATGGCAACCTGTACAGCAGCCTGCCCCTGACCAAGCGCGAGGAGGTGGAGAAACTGCTCAATGGCTCCTCGGGGGATACCTGGCGACATCTGGCAGGCGAGCTGGGCTACCAGCCTGAGCATATAGACTCCTTCACCCACGAGGCCTGCCCAGTCCGAGCCCTGCTGGCCAGCTGGGCTGCCCAGGACAGCGCAACGCTCGATGCCCTTTTGGCTGCCCTGCGCCGCATCCAGAGGGCTGACATCGTGGAGAGCCTGTGCAGCGAGTCCACCGCCACCTCCCCAGTGTGAGCTCACAGACCAGAAGTCCCTGTCCAGCCCCCACAGAGCTGACCCCTCCCCTCTCCCCAGGGGTGGCCCAACAGTCAGAGCCGAGCTCCTCTGTGCAGGGCCTCGCTCAGCTCCCCAAACCATAGCTCTGTTGCTGCTCCTGAGGGGGCCCTTGCTTCTGACCATGCTCCCTCTCCAGCAAGAGACAGGACCACCCCAAGCCTGTCTTGCCCCCTTGGCCTCTCAGGCTGTTCCTCCCTTTCCCAACACCTTAGCTGTGTCAGATCTTGGGGGTTTGACACCAGAAAAGGTTAACAGAGGTACCCCAGAGACTCAGGAGGCACTGAAGAACCAGAGCCATGGGCCCCACACTGTGAACTGGAGAACAGGGGGGTATTGTGGTAGGCTAGACCTTCCTTAGCCCCCTCCCTTCTCCCCTCTGGCCAAAGATGAAGAGGATTATAGGCCTATCTGAGCTGAAGGCAGGTTTGGACCCCGGTCCACACTCCCCTGTTACACACAAGACCGTACAGCCCAGAGAGAGGCAGGGCCTGGTCTAGGCCACCCAGCAACGTGGAGATCAAACGTAGGCTAACACTCTCCTTTCTGAATGAGGGCATCAGGTGTGCTTGATGGCAGGGATGGAGTAGCTTTCAGGGAAGCAGCTGGAAGCCAAATCTACTTCACCCTCTACTACTTCCAGGCCCCAGCCCAACTGTTGTGCAGACAAAGTTTTTCCAAGACCTGGTCCCTTGGCCCCTTCTGATGGAGTCGGGCTAAAGGGCTTGGGAAGTGGGCTGCTGCCTTCCTCTGCCTCTGTCAAGCTTATCCACATTTGTGAAGGGATGTATCGGTTAATGCTCTCGTTCTTAGCATAGGCCTGAAGCCAACATTAGCCCCTAGAATCAGCCCTAGGGGTCAGGGACCAAGGACTCCCACCCCACAGTCCTAACACCACACACACACACACACACACACACACACACACACACACACACACGAAAAGATGTCTCGAAATTTTTTTCCATGTCTCTTCTTGGGCTGCTGGGGGTCACTGCCAGAGAAACATCGGAGGGAACCGAGTTGAGTTTGATCGGAGTGGCTTCCTCACCCCCGGGTTTGGCAGGCCAAGGACTGCTGCATCTGAGCTGGAGCCCGTCTTCCAAGGGACGTGGAGGAATGCTCTCACTCCCCCCCACTCCGTGCAGCCAGAAGAGTATAGTAAGGAAGAACAGGCTGGTATGAGAACACGGCAAGAAAACAACCAAAAGAAACAGATGCTGGCCCATGGGCTGTGGCAGGCTTCTCCTAAGTTTCAAGGCCCCTGCAAGGGACTGATTTCCTGAGCACCACCAGGAAGGGGCGTGAGGTCTAGGTGGCGTTTTCACTCCCCTTCTTGGCCTGTTCTGTTTTGCTTGCTGTTGGAATGAGTGGGCCCCCCCTCTATTTAGCATGAAGGAGCCCCAGGCAGGATATGCACAGACTGACCACCGTCCCTCCCCACCCAGGGTCCACCCAACCCTGTACGGAGAACCAGGGGCATTGTACACGGGTGGTATTTTTATGGACCTCAATCTGCATCGAGTGGAGGGACCCCCCCCCCACCTGCTGGCCCCCCTCCCCAGGTACCTGGGGAATGGGACATTCTTTGTGTATTTATTTTTTTTCTCCCCAGAAGTTGGGGAGCGGTGGGGAGCTGCAAATGCAGTTTAGCATGTGTTTGGTTCTGGGCTCTCCCCAGCCTGATTTTGGGTCAAGATGGAACCTTTGGCCCTTCAGCTGGCGATGCTGAGCTCCAGACCCCGTCACTTTCCTGTCACCTTCCCCTTGCTTCCTGTGTAATCATGTCTCGGGCCCTCCCGAAACCTACACGTCGTAAAACATAAGTGATGAACATTAAATAGCAAAAAAGAAAAGAAAAAAAAGAAAAAAAATGGTGCCAAGTGAGTTCTCTGGAAACACCCATGTTTTGTTAGTTGGAATTGAATGTATAGATCAGGGTCCCTCCCTGCGAACTCCCAGCCTTTATAATTTCCAACTTAGTTCCGAATGTCCATTCTTCTGTGAGTTTTGACAAGAATCCAGCAACTTCACATGTGCAGTCAAGACGTGGGTGGGGGAAAAGAATGGGGACTGTTTGCACACAGATCTTAGAGAGGGAAAGTTAAAAAAAAAAAAAAAAAAAAAAAAGAAACAAAAACTGCCTAGCAGGAAGCTGGCCAGCTGTGAACTTGACCAGATGTCAGAAGTGAAACTGACCACAGGGGAGCCAGAGGCTCTCTAGGAGGGCCAGGTCATGACCCCACAGCGCCCAGCCACCCACATGGCCTGTAAGACACACGAGCGCACTTTTACACAAGATCACACAGGATCTTAGTCCAGATGGCCTCGGCAGGAGACTGGCTGGCCTGGCCTAGAGTCAGGAAGGCCCTTCCCTCAAGACTCTGAACAGATCCTAAGCAGAGCTCTTGCCTCCCTGTCCGGGTAGGCTCTGGGACCCCTGTCTCCAGGCTGTGCCCCTTGTGAGGCTGGTGAGGCAAGTAGTCAGAACTGCCCATTCCTTACTGGTCCATTGTTCAGGTCCTGGAGTAGGCGTGGTGTGTAGTCATCCTGGAGGGTGGGAGAAGGAAGAACATCGAACAGATCCAGGGATCAGGGCCCAGCCAAGAGTCATGGACATCAGGGAGACAGGAGCCTTCTTGTCACCCACTCCCACTGACAGGGTGGGTGAAGAGGATGACTTGGTGGCGGAGGGGAAAAAAACTCAGAGGAGATGGGAAGAATGGTCTCGGCACAAGGAAACAGTGGAGAAAGTCGCTGTCTGGTGGAGGACATAGGCCTAAGGCCTGGGGACCCATCTTCCTCCTGTGGGCCTACTGTCTACAATAGGAATAGATTTTCTATGAGGGGGTGGGGGGAGCCTATCTGCTACCTCGAGGGACTTCGCATTCTGATGAAAGAAACGCCATCTTCACCCTGAAAGGTGGACAACCCAGATTCTGTCTGGTGGGAAGAGATAAGGAAGGACACGAGCCTTCTCTTCAATGACTACATTCTTCAGAGAGCGGCAGCAGGCAGTCCCAGCTAGCGTACATAGTGTAAGCAGGGCCCTCGTCAAGCCCAACCAGCCCCAGAGAGGTCAGGGAAGGGACATGGAAGCTGGCTCTTAGGGGTGCGTGAGGTAGCAGGCCCAGGAAGAGAACAGAGCCCAGCTTGGAGAAATGCTGGAGCCTGGAGCCCAGAAGAGCGAAGAGGGGAGGGAAGGGGGGAGGGCCAGACAGGGGCCAGGGCTCCTGTGGAGTCTGTTTAAGTGGTCTGGACTATATTCTTAGGATTCTGGAAGCTGCAGAGGACTTGAAACCCTCCCATCCCTTCCCAAGGCTGGGTGGGGGAAAAGGCTCGGCGTAACCTCTGCACGTCTCCATCCCTCCTGTCTCCAGTCAGCTTTCTCATGCCTGCTCTGGTCCTGAAGGACTGTGTGAGGCCCCTCCCAAGTCCCCCAGACTCCCTGCCTGGAGCCAACAGTTGGCCTTCCTCTCTTCCTGCTTCCCAAACAGCCTCAGGATCCCGAAAACTTTGTAATTTCCCTCAGCCACAGGGCCTCTTTGTGTGCTAGCCTATCTAGAACATTCTTTACCAGGTTAGCTCAGTCCCGAGAGTCTTTAAGGAAGCCTTCACTAGTTGCCTGGCTCCAAATTAGTCTCTCTCTCTCTCTCTCTCTCTCTCTCTCTCTCTCTGTGTGTGTGTGTATGTGTGTTTTTTTCTTTTTTTTTCCAGAGCTGAGGACCGAACCCAGGGCCTTGCGTTTGCTAGGCAAGCGCTCTACCCCTGAGCTAAATCCCCAACCCTGTATGTGTGGTTTGTTTGTTTGTTCTGTTCTGTTTCTGACAGGGTTTCCTATAACCCGGACTGGTCTGAACCTCCCTATATAACCAAGAGTAGCCTTAAACTCCTCCTGCCTCCGTACTCCAAGCCCTGGGGGGTCACAGGCACTGTGCCACCATACCCAGCTCCAAATCAGCTTTCTAGGCTCCAGCTTCAGAAAGCCCCACAGCCCTTCCTTTTCTTTACACTGCTTAAGCCCTCTTTGTCGTTTGACACCCATCAGAGTGACTGTCAATTCCCGGAAAGCAGACACAGGCTCTGGTCTTGCTCACGGCTTCATGCTCAGCGTCTCGCCTGGTAGACAGCTGACACACCGTCCGACCGAGTGAGGGATGAGTTCCCTCTGTCCGGTACCCACAGAATGCAAGTGACCCGTGCCAGCTTTTTAGTGGGCACCTTACACAAATAAAAGAAACAGCTGACCCTACGAATGGATTAGCCCCATAGCACTTAAACGCGTGATCAGTTCTTAAAATTGATAATGAAATACCACACACACACACTAAGTTGTCTCAATCCTATTTGGTTTCGATGTTGTCATTTTTCTTTTTCCTTTCTGATTTTTTTTTTTTAAGACAGGGTTTCTCTATGCAGTCCTGGGTGTCTTGGAGCTTGCTATGTAGACCAGGCTGGCCTCGAGTTCACAGAGATCTTCCTGACTCTGCCTCCTGAGTGCTGGGATTAGAGGTGTGCTCCGCCACACCCCGCTCCTAGGTGTCTCTGTTCTTCCTGCACACCTCAGTTCAGACCCAGCCACGTCAAAGGTCAAGGATCACAAATGGCTAGAGGCTACTGCTCGAGGCCACTGCGGCATCGGGCTGAGATGTAGGGATTTGGACCTCCAGAGTAGGGACTCCCTCTAATTCCTCAGGGCTTCCAGAGGACAAATGAAAACCATTTAGCTTCTGTCTGTGTCCTCAGCGACCTTGGACATAGCACCCAGCCTTCACTTCCTGCATGCTTCCCGACATTCCTACGACATCTCTCCTCTAAACTCAGACTCAGGAGTCTCTGTTTCATTCTGTCTCATTCCTTCATCTTTGAAGGAGTAGCTGTTCCACCCCTGCCCCTCACCCCGCTCCCCTCAGCCAATGGGCAAAGGGAGACAAGACTTGAAACGTGTATGAGGTCTCTGCATCCAGCAGAGAGAACCATGGGAGGCCCGAGCCTGTGGTAGAGCTTCAGGGGAAAGAAAGGGCTGGACCGGAGCTGGGGTCAACAGAAGACATTTTTCCTGGTGCTCCAGCTGAGGGTCTGCTGACCATATGGCTAGAGGAACCTGTAACTCCGATAATATAAAGCAGACATGCTTCAGCTTTGTGGCAGCTGCTGGGCAGAAGGCTTGGGGCCCCAGGGGCATCAGGAGACAGGCAGAGGCAAGGAGGACTCTTTCTCCAGCCTCTTTTCCTTTTCAGTCTCCTGCTCCAGCTTTCTTGTCCTCCCACTGACCCTTCCTAGGCACACCAGACACCCTGCTGCCATCCTGCCTGGCCCATGCCTAAGATCCAGCTCTCAGCCCAGCTCCTTCAGAGTGGCTAGGTATTCCCTGCGCTTGCTCTGGAGCGATCCTGTGCACTGCCCCCAACTCAGGCCCTTACCCTCAGCTCCAAATGGAGGGTGAGGACTCCCAAACCCAGGAGATCATCCCCATTTCCCAACATGCTCCACCTAGGCAGTGACCTTTTCCAGCCAGCCCTATGAGCCAACCAGATGAGGCCAGGAATGTTTCCCAAAGGCACCATCACAGAAGAATACACAGAACATTCTAGTTCTCATCCGTCCCAGGGCACTCAATGGTACACCTTCAGACCACATCCGGGTACTTCCCAGATCTGGTGGTACTTCTTCCCTGCAATCCCTGCCCACCCACCACTCCCTGAATCAGTGCTCCACTTCCGGCAACATTCCCAAGGGGCTCAAGGGGAGGTGAGGATCCGCTCCCCAAGCTGGGATTACTCCCTTAAGGGGAAAAAAATCTAGCAATGAATGCCCTCCCCTACTCCATAGCCTAGTGACTCAGAATATATAAGATGGGGTCATCCAGCAGAAGCCTGAAGCCCCGCCTCAAAAACCCTTGGCCTGGGGCTCAGCGTCCACCCCAGAAATCTAGCCCTACCCCAGGGCTAAGGCTCTCACCAGCAGTCCAGATGGTTCTCATTCTACTCCCCCAGACCTTGGATGCCAGCCCTGTGCATAGGATATGCAGGCCAGGGGCACAGGGCAACTCAGGCGCCATTCATCAGTGCTGGAGCAGAGAGCCAGTCACGACCTCTTGGGGTCCCCAGACAAGAGGCCAGAGCCATCCTTAAGGAGCTCTGTTCTCTTCAACCCTTGATATAATAACCCAGAGTCTTTGTGGTGCAACAGGAAGCAAGCCGGTGAGGCGGTTTACACCAGGGTCAGAAATGAAAAGGGCCAGCATAGGACATCCCCAGGACCCAGTTTCTCCATCTCCACCTCCTGCCCTCCTTCCTCAGGTAGCCTTCTCCTTTGGGCTGTCAAGAAAGCTGCGAGGCCTCACGTTCAAGGTCCTAGGGTAGAGAGTGCTTTACTTTGTTCTAACATCCCAACCAAAGTCCCCAAGGGTCCTTGGTTCTGATTGGCTCATCCCTGTGTCCCATCAGTGATCACAGATGGGCTAAGCTGAAGGTTGAATGCTCCATCCCTGGGGCAGGAATGTCATCTCGCCTGAAGCAAGGGACTGAGCGTGTGAGCGTGTGTGTGTGTGTGTGTGTGTGTGTGTGTGTGTGTGTGTGTGTGTG